CCGTAGGCAAAGAATCTGATACGGAATCAATAATTCCGTAGGCTTGGGCTTCTTCGGGTGACATAAAATGATCCCTTTCCAGGTCTTTAGATATCTGCCATACCGGTTTGCGTGTTCTTTGCGAATAAATAGCTGTTATTGTTTCTCGAAGTATCACCATTTCATCTGCTTCCAGCATACATTCTCCTGATGGTCCCTCATAAGGGGCACTATGAGGTTGATGGATCATTACCCTGATAGTATAATATATTTTGGTTTTTTCTCTCAATCTTGACTTAAAAAAATAAGAAAGAAGGGATATTCAAAAGAACTTCAATTTAAATTGAAAGCCGTACAGGCAAGCATCTTTTGGATTTTTTATATAGCATACGGCTCTATACTTTTAATTTTTCATTTTTTTTACCTTTCATTGAAGAAATAAAATATATATATATATATATATATATATATATATATATATATATATATATATATATATATATATATATATATATATATATATATATATATATATATATATATATATATATATATATATATATATATATATATATATATATATATATATATATATATATATATATATATATATATATATATATATATATATATATATATATATATATATATATATATATATATATATATATATATATATATATATATATATATATATATATATATATATATATATATATATATATATATATATATATATATATATATATATATATATATATATATATATATATATATATATATATATATATATATATATATATATATATATATATATATATACCGGGTCTATCAGACCCAGATCAGTAAAGAATCCAATAACCATCTTTCTTTTTTTTTTTTTAGAATATTTTAAAATATTTAAAGACTATGATGATTTCGTTGCTCTCTTAATTTCGTGTAGTTTTTGATTCAGCAATCCCAAAGTTTCTTTTTTTTTTCAAATGAAGTAAAAAAAAAATCGTGACACTAAAAGAGGCTCTAATTAATAGATAAGAGGAAATATAAAATTGTAAATACCCCTTCCCCTTTTTTCTACTACTCTTTCGATATAGAATCGAATGATTTAAAAAAAAATTATTTTTGCATATCGAACTCAGAGTGCCATTCTTTTTTTACTTCATATTGGCGTAGGCATAGTCTTCTTCTACAAATAAGAATCATTGGCGCCAAGCGTGAGGAAATGCTAGACGTTTGGTAATTCCGCCTCCTGCCAAAATAAGAGATGCCATTGAAGCGGCTAATCCCATGCATATTGTATGTACTTGTTGAATCATAGATATTCTCCCTAAAAGAAACTTTGCATTGGGCTTTTTCAGAGCACAGGGAGTCATTTCCTTTTTCTTTGTGGAGTGAAGTCGTTACCTTAACCGCAAGGAGGGGGATGCCGAAGGCAGGGTTAGTGACTGGAGTAGATACGACTTATTTGATTCAAATTATGACTATAAGCAAGTCCATAAATATACTCCCTAAAAAGAAGTGGGTATAGGAAGTCCTGTTGGCGAGATCTAGCTCGTTCTAAATATACTTTATATTCCTTCATTTTCTAAATTTGATTTGGTCAAAGATTCATTGGATTATGAAATGATACATAGTGCGATACAGTCAAAACAAGGTATTCTAGATCTATATTCGAATTGAAATAAAAAACAAATATGAAGCGATACCTAGAAAACGAGTTAAAACCCATTAATGGACTATCTCCCCTCGCTTGTTCCTTCTCATTTTTCTAGGACAAACAAGCTAGTTAGAAATCCTTTATTTTTTGGACCAATCGCTCTTTTGATTTTGGAAAAAAATCAGATCTTTATCAATATACTCTTTCTTCTACACATTTATTGCTACCTCATAAAATAATGGGGAATAGCTAATAATTAGGACTCATAACAAAAATCGTTAATCCATCATTCGTAGGAAAAACTTTTTCCACAGCAAGCACTAATTCTTTTTTAACGTATAATTAGATGTGGTAATCATTCAAATCAAAAATGAAAGCTCGTTGCTTTTTGTTTCCCTATAATTGGAGCAGCTAAGCTCTATCCCTTTATTAATTAAACCCAACGGAATTCATTTGTTCGGAGCCAACAATTCAAAGAAAAATATTGGTCGGATCAAATATGAATGAAAAATTTTTAGAATTCACCGTTGATACGACATGCTGCTTTTTCCATTCATTCCTTTCTGGATCAGTCGTGGTCTTACAAACCCTACCGATAGTAGGGATGAACCAATTAGTTCATAGAAATGTGTAAAAAATGGAGTCGCACTTAAAAGCCGAGTACTCTACCATTGAGTTAGCAACCCTAATCCAATTACAAACAAGGATGTCTATATCCAATCGCAATAAAAAAAGATGCAATTCTATAAATAATAGAATCAAATGTTACATATTATGTTACATATTACATTAAATTACAATGAATGACATTAAATTACAATGAAAGAAAAAAAAATACAACGAATCCACCATTTGATGAAGTAAAAAACCTATCTGACATGAGTCAATCGATCCATTTATTCACGATCGGATTATATTGGTTTGATACACTGTTGTCAATATTAATAGAAAATACTTCTATTTTAATTCATTATATTCCAAATCAAAAAAGAATAATGAACTAGAAAAAAATCTATCAATCCGAAAGATCCATAGGATTCATTTATAGATACAACAAGTATTCTGTACAGTATTCGGCTCAATCCTTTTAGTAAAAGATTGGGCCGAGTTTAATGGAAATTAATAGAACGAATTATTATTACTGGATTACAAAGTATCCATTGCTGGGAATTCAAATTTGATTTCCTTCCAGACTTCACAAGCAGCAGCTAATTCAGGACTCCATTTGCAAGCTTGACGGATAATTGCATTACCCTCGCGAGCAAGATCACGTCCCTCATTCCGAGCTTGTACACATGCTTCCAGAGCTACTCGATTCGCTACGGCACCAAGTGCATTTCCCCAAGGGTGTCCTAAAGTTCCTCCACCGAATTGGAGTACAGAATCATCTCCAAATATCTCGGTCAGAGCAGGCATATGCCAAACGTGAATACCCCCTGAAGCAACAGGGATAACACCTGGTAAAGAAACCCAATCCTGAGTGAAATAAATACCGCGACTTCGATCTTTTTCAATATAATCATCACGTAGTAAATCAACAAAACCTAAAGTAATCTCCCTTTCTCCTTCAAGTTTACCTACTATAGTACCAGCGTGAATATGATCTCCACCAGACAAACGTAAGGCTTTAGCTAATACACGAAAGTGCATACCATGATTTTTTTGTCTATCGATAACTGCATGCATTGCACGGTGGATATGAAGAAGTAGACCATTATCGCGGCAATAGTGAGACAGGGTAGTATTTGCAGTGAATCCACCTGTTAAGTAGTCATGCATTACGATAGGAACGCCCAATTCTCTAGCAAATACAACTCTTTTTAGCATTTCTTCACATGTACCCGCAGTAGCATTCAAATAATGTCCTTTGATTTCCCCTGTTTCGGCCTGTGATTTATAAATTGCTTCGGCACAAAATAAGAAACGGTCTCTCCAACGCATAAATGGTTAGGAGTTCACATTTTCATCATCTTTGGTAAAATCAAGTCCCCCGCGGAGACATTCATAAACTGCTCTACCATAATTCTTAGCTGATAAACCCAATTTGGGTTTTATAGTACATCCCAATAGGGGACGTCCATACTTGTTCAATTTATCTCTCTCAACTTGGATTCCGTGAGGAGGACCTTGGAAAGTTTTAACATAAGCATTAGGGATTCGCAAATCTTCCAGACGTAGAGCGCGCAAGGCCTTGAACCCAAATACATTACCTACAATGGAGGTAAACATGTTAGTAACAGAACCTTCTTCAAAAAGGTCTAAGGGATAAGATACATAAGCAATAAATTGATTATCTTCTCCAGGAACAGGCTCAATCTCGTAGCAGCGTCCTTTATAACGATCAAGGCTGGTAAGTCCATCGGTCCACACAGTTGTCCATGTATCAGTGGAAGATTCTGCAGCTACCGCTGCACCTGCTTCTTCAGGCGGAACTCCAGGTTGAGGAGTTACTCGGAATGCTACCAAGATATCAGTATCTTTGGTTTGATAGTCAGGAGTATAATAAGTCAATTTATAATCTTTAACACCAGCTTTGAACCCAACCTTTGCTTTAGTTTCTGTTTGTGGTGACATAAATCCCCCCCTACAACGCATGAATTAAGAATTGAATTATAGCAACAACAAGGTCTACTCGACATAACTTAAGAGTTAATCAAACCTTTTTACAAATGATCCATCAACTAATATTATCAATTAATCCGAATGGGTCATTGTTAAATTTTTCCATGATATTTGATTTGGCAAATACATCATTATTCTATACTCTTTCATATGTATGGCGCAACCCAACCGTTTTTTTCGAATCTCTTATTTTTTTTTTTGAATTTTGGAATATAATTTTCGAATCTAAATAATAAATAAAAAATATACTCTTGACCTTGACAGTGATATATGTTGTATATGTAAATCCTAGATGTCAAAATCGGCAGAATTTGCCCAATAAAAAGAAAAATCGGTAAAAAGAAATAATATGCTCAGTATAAATCCTATGCTGAGGAAATAAAAAATAAGGACCAATGAGATAGAAAAACAGAATCATAAACAAAGTTTAGGTTGGAATTCCATAGATAATATAGATAGTATTGTCTACAATCTGGATGACTGGGTTGACCTTAAAAATTAAATCATTGAAATTTGAAAACAATTGAATTGATTGGATGGTGAAAATCGATTATTAAATTACATTTATTATTCTATATTTTTTTATTATTAAATATTAAATATTTTATTAAATATGAATTAATACATTTCATTTGTTATTAAATATTCAAATAATGAACCAATCCACTTGCGTTGTTCTCGAACATTTTTTTCTTAATTTGAATTTTTTTTTTTTCAAAAAAAAAAGAGGATATTTTTCAATATGACAATAAATTCTCCCCCTTCTGATACTGAGGTTTCTGCACTTGAAAACAAAAATCTGGGGCGTATTACGCAAATAATCGGTCCGGTACTCGATATAGTTTTTCCACCAGGGAAGATGCCTTATATTTACAACGCTCTGATAGTTCAAGGTCGAGATACGGTTGGCCAACAAATTCGCGTAACTTGTGAAGTACATCGATTATTAGGAAATAATCGAGCTAGAGCTGTAGCTATGAGTGCTACAGATGGTCTAAAGAGAGGAATGGAAGTGATTGACACAGGAGCTGCTCTAAGTGTTCCAGTCGGCGGAGCAACCCTAGGTCGAATTTTCAACGTGCTTGGAGAACCCATAGATAATTTGGGTCCTATAGATACTCGCACAACATCTCCTATTCATAGATCTGCGCCTGCCTTTATACAGTTAGATACACAATTATCCATTTTTGAAACAGGAATTAAAGTAGTCGATCTTTTAGCTCCTTATCGCCGTGGCGGAAAAATAGGACTTTTCGGTGGAGCTGGGGTATGTAAAACAGTACTCATTATGGAATTGATCAATAACATTGCCAAAGCTCATGGAGGTGTATCTGTATTTGGCGGAGTAGGTGAGCGTACTCGTGAGGGAAATGATCTTTATATGGAAATGAAAGAATCCGAAGTAATTAATGAAAAAAATATTGCAGAATCAAAAGTCGCTTTAGTCTATGGTCAAATGAATGAACCCCCCGGAGCTCGTATGAGAGTTGGTTTAACTGCCCTAACTATGGCAGAATATTTCCGAGATGTCAATGAGCAGGACGTCCTTCTATTTATCGACAATATCTTCCGTTTTGTCCAAGCCGGATCCGAAGTATCGGCCTTATTGGGCCGAATGCCTTCCGCTGTGGGTTATCAACCGACCCTGGGTACTGAAATGGGTACTTTACAAGAAAGAATTACTTCTACCAAAGAAGGGTCAATAACTTCTATTCAAGTAGTTTATGTACCTGCAGACGATTTGACCGATCCTGCTCCTGCCACGACATTTGCACATTTGGATCCCTAGCTCCGGTCGTCTCCTCCAACCTTAAGACGTCGGAGCCCTAGCTCCGGTCGTCTTCTCCGACTAACCCTTCACCGGAGCAAACACAAACCACCCAAAAATGTGAAACAAAACCACCCATCCATTCAGAATTTCACATAGGTTCAAAACATGACAACATTTTTCTCAAATAATCAAGCTATTATGGTGAATCAAAGGAAGCATATTTGAACACACAAACTGAAAATCACCAAAACAGAACAACAAGCTATGCAAACATTTCATACCATGAGTAGGACTTCATATGTACACAATATGAACCTAGCATGTATCTAAAATGAGAAAAAATAAGCTATGGAGGTTACCTAGTGGAGAGTGTCTACTGCACCTTCAAATCTTGCAGAAACTTTGAGGAAAACTCCACCAAATATCTCAGTGATCTTCAAGGAGTATGAAGCTAGCAAGAGAACTTCGAGAAATCTTTGAAACCAGCATATTCGAAGAGGAGAAAATTCTGAGAGAAATGAGAGCTTAGGGTTATGTTTTCTGAGCACCAAGGAGTCTCTCCCCTCTCTAGGGTTTTTAGTTTTTATGTTGAGATTATGGTGTGGTTAAAAAACCTTTACTGAGGTTTAAAAAACGAATGGTTGGTGATTTTGGAAAAAATGAAGATGAATGGTGGATGATGGGCCTGGCACGAGTTTGATCCCATGTGAGGTGTATGATGGTGATTCTGATTGTCCTTATGGTGAGAGGAAAAAAATCAGAATGGAGAGTGTAGTGGAATTCGTTTTGCACAAGTTTTTTTACTTCTTTTGGAAAAACAATACACAAATGATGCATGACAATGTGGCTCGTGTTGGGTTGTTTTTGGCAACATTATTTGGCAAGGCAATATGTGTAAAGATGCTGCAAGAGTAGACATACAACCTTATTCAAAACCAACACAAAACGTCATGCCTAAAAGCAAATCCAAATGGCCAACTTTGAACAAATATATCTTAAGAACCCTTGATCCAATTCATGCAATTCTTAGCTCAAATGAAAGTATGGAAATTGGAGAGTCAATTTCATATTAATGGTAAGTTGAAATGGTATCTAAAACCATAGGTAAAATGACCTAAAGTGGTGTCAAAAAACTGTCTTAAATAACTTAGAAATATTTCTAAGTTATTGAGCTTTGGCAACTTAGGAACGTCATCTTTGAGGCCATGTAACTTGAAGAGTTTTGATTCAAAAGAAAAGATGTAGTAATGTATAGAAAACTTGAAGAATGATATTAAACTTTCAAATTATGGGAAAATTCAATTGAGATCAAGAAATTAGTGAAAAATGTCTTGGAAGTTTGGTGGAAAAATCTGTCTAACAACTTGCCAATCTTAACATCTTTGGAGCCCTAATTTGGGAGCATCATAATTTGAGCTCTACACATCCAATGGAGATGATATAGTACTCAAAAGAAAGCATGGAGGATGCTCTACAATTCTCATTTTGTATGAGAATTCAATTGAATCTTGTATCATCCAAGTGTTGAAATGTCATAATCTCCATTTTCCAACTTTAGCTCATCATATCTCCTAAACCATGAATATTTTGGACATGTTTCCTTCCATAAACCTGTAGTTCATGATTTCCTCTTTAATTTGATAGCAAGTTTTCCTTCATTTGATCAAAAATGAGAAAGTCATAGAAGTTGCAAGATGGCTAGAATTAGGGTTTTCTACACTTAGAAAAATTTCCATCAAAACCCTAATTTAGTCAAACTCTTGATTTTGTGTTTCTCTTTGATGATTTTTGTTCCAAACACATGAAATAACTTGAAAAAAACTATCATGCCCTTGGTTGACCTTGAGATCCAAGATCTTGACCTAATTGAATCACAATTGACTTTTGTTGACCAGATGAAACCCTAGGACCATTTCCACTAATTAAGGCTCTTGTGATGGCTTGTGACGACACATAATCCATGTAGAGGACCCTCAAGGTGTATGTTGAGATTTAGAATCATGTATTTCCCAAAGAAACTAGCCACAAATCTCCTTTTGAATCAAAACTCTAGACAGTTATCCATGAGATAGGAGGAGAAGAATCAATGCTTGTGTTCTTGATTCAAGTTGTTGAGTGATATGCCTTGAATATGATGTAGACCTTGTGACTTGATATTTCCATAAAGTTGAGCTTGAGCTCTTGGTTGAGCTTTAAATATGAATCTCTTCTGTTGACTGTTGGATAAGATGCCTTGATCCCCTATCTAAGGTCAATGCTAGATGCAAATGCTAATGATATGGAGGTTAAAGGTTAGGGTGAAGAAGAGGGTGTGACACATGACCCTATTTAATCTCCTTGGACTTGAAATTTAGTATGACAAAGGCCTTTTCATAGTTAAGGTACAAGGAAATTAAATACAAGAATACCCAAAATTTTCAGCTAACCGAGGTGAAATGTTTCAGGATGGAAAAACAAGATGGCTTTGAAAAAGACATCTTTCAAAAGATAAATGGTAGTTTGATGAATTGGTTGGTTATGAGGGATATATGACGATATTCTCGAGATGCAATGAAAAAGAACAACAAGTGTTTCGCCAGTCCTGAAAGGGGAAACATCCTTGCAGTAATAGGTGATAATTAAGGTTTACGATATATTCCTCCTACGGACGGCAAGGAGGACTCAAGTTGTATATAGTGAGATATTCCTTCCACAAAAGGTAGCAAGGACTCAGGGGATATAATGAAATAACTCATACCAAAGGTATAGCTCCTAACAATCAAAGAGTGAAATATTCCTCCTACAAAAGGTAGAGTGGACCCCAGAACGAAAGGTTTGAAGAAAAGATTCCTTACGCGAAAGGAGAAAAGGACTCTAGAACAAAAGGCTTGGAGAAAAGATAAATTCCTTCTACATCACATAGAGAAACTCCATTGTGTAGAACACAACCAAATAAATTTCTGCAAAAGCAGAAAAGACTCCTGAGCAAAAGGTTATGAGATAATTCCTCCTACGAAAGGTAGCGAGGACTCTAGAATAAAAGGCTTGGAGACAACTTCCTTCTACAAAAGGTAGAAAGAACCCCAGAACAAAAGGTTTGGAGAAAACGGTCTCGCTATAACAAGTAAAGTATATTCCGCTGGGGAAGAAATGATCGTGAAAATGTCTGCAATAAGTAGAAAAGACTCCTAAGCAAAGGCTAGAAGAAAATTCCTCCTTACGAAAGGTAGTGAGTATTCCAGAACAAAAGGTTCGGGGAAACAAATTTCTTCTACGAAAGGTAGATAAAAACACCAGAACAAAAGGTTTAGGGAAACATATTTCTTCTACGAAAGGTAGAGAAAGACGCCAGAACAAAAGGTTCAGGGAAAGAAATTTCTTCTACGAAAGATAGAGAAAGACACTAGAACAAAAGGTTCAAAGGCAAAGGTCTATAAAAGGTAGGATATTCTGTGGGGAGAAAAACGTAATACGCAAAGACGAACTGCTGAGGATAATGTACAAAAGGCACAACCGGGTATGGAAAGGTGCAAAATGCACAAGGCAAAAGTATTACAATGACAACATGAATAAGACTCAAAAAAGGTAAGTTGAGGGCAATAACTACCCTTGTATAAGGTATTAGAAAAATGTTAACCTCACTGGCACAACGACGGAGGTGACACTCTTTGCGTAGCGACCATTTAGTTCTTGGCCACATAGGCATCAAGCATCCAAATTGATCGAAGATACCTAAAATAAAGTTCTGTCACGTGTAAAAGACAGCGGAGGCGCTCACACAAGGAAAGCGAAAGGATCAGATTTCACGCAAAAGGAAACAAAATACCTTACAAACGGTAAGGTGAAAAGAACCTGTGCAAAAAGGCACGGAAGAAGTTACAAAAGGTAATCGATGGAAGAGACAATGTCCACAGGAATGCCCTACCCTCTATAGGAACTGACTAAACAAGCATGCAAATGATATAAAAATGTATACAAAAATACTAGGGATATGAGAGTCTAGAGTGACGGTCGTGCCAAACATGGTTGGGCTTGTTGGGGAAAATGGATATGTGTTGCACCCCAAATTTTTACCCCTAGATTCCATCACAACTATAGGAGAATCATCATTGTTTATCTAACCTTAACCTATTTCAAGTTTATCTTTGTCAAAATACAGGTGAATCAGGGTTCAATACAGTCAGAAATCGAGGTTTCAATGGTTTGACCAGTCAATGTCTTGGATTGGTTTGAAGGTGAGAAAATACTTAGAAGGGGGGGGGGGGGGTTGAATAAGGATTTAGAAAATTTTAGAGCAATAAAAACACAAGGATTTTTATCCTGGTTCGTTGAACTCAACTACTCCAGTCCACCCTATCAAGAGTGATTTGCCTTTCTCCTCAAGGACTTAATCCACTATAATCAACTGATTACAATATCAACCACTAAGAACAACTGTTCTTAGTCTTCTCAAGAACTACTGACCACAACTTGGTCTTCTCAAGGAACTTTTACAATCAAATGTAAACTAAAACAAGTGTTTGAAATGCTTCTAAGAAAGCTATATCACAACTGTGATTTATACTTAAGTTTATGAACGTATGAAATAAATTCAGCAAAGAGTAATAAATTGTATGAGAGCTTTTCAATGAATTTCTTTCAATAAATCGTCAACTTGAGAAAGAAGTTGAAGACTTGCTTTTATAGACTTAGAAGTCCAAGACGTTGCAAGCTTGAAGACCGTGTACTGCAAAGTAGCTGTAACCTTTTTGTCTTCATATCACTTGACCTTTCCTAGAAGTAGAACGTTCAGAGAAAACCTTTTTTCCTGAGTTCTTGTGTCTAGCATAAATGAGGAAAGAGTCGTTTGGCATAACCAACAGATATAACTTTGAGTTCTTCTTCAACAAGTTTCTATTTCACAGCAATCAACATCAGAGCTTTGAGTGATCAAAGTCTTTGATGTTCTTCATAGTTTGCTGTATCAGAGTATTGCAGCAAGTGTGCTTCAGCGTGTAATTAATCAGAGCAGAGTTTGGAGATCAGATCCTCAGTACATG